TCCAGCTGGGACAGGGAGTTGACGGTCACTTTGCAGGTGGGACAGTACAGGTGCTGTTTGCTCTTCTTCACCTCCTTCTCGCTCTCAGGGACCGAGCTGATGCTGCTGCCTGACTCGGCTGCCTGTGCCTCTGCTGCCTGGGCGGACGAGGAGGCCACGCTGGTGGCGTCCGAGGTGCCCTCCGACAGCTCGGAGGCTGGAGGGGAGCCCAGGGGGGCGACACTGCCTGGCAGCTCCACGGGCGATTCCTCGGTGCCAGGTGCCAGCCCCAGGCTGCTGCCCTCACCCTCTGGCTCCTGTGGGCTGCTGGCGTCAACTGGCAGGAGGGAAAGGAAAGGAGAAAAAGGGAAAAGAGAAAGAAATGGGCAGGAAGGGAAAGCTCTCTGTGCCTGAACAGGTTTTCTGGATTTCAAGGAGCATCCCTGACCTCCTGAAGACCATCTCAGGCATTGTCTGCTTGCATCCATCCCTGCCAAGGACAGCTCTTCCCAAGGTCTCTGCTGTTATGGTTTTTATCTGCAGCACAGGACAGCCAGGCTCAGCACAAAACCCTGGGCAAGCTCCAGTGCTGCCATGGCTCAGGGGGGATCTGACTCCCACCCACCCCATCCCTGTGTGTGACACGGATCACTTCCTCTCCCGCGTCCATACAAACACCTCCCACAGACACCAAATCACAGGAGAAACACCTGACGTCCCACCCCGGCCACAGGGATGCCCAGGGCCAGGCTCCCCCAAGGACACACGCTGCCCAAGCTCCTTCCCAGACCACTGCCCCAGCCCATCCCACCAGGGACGCCAGGGGGGCACAGACACTAGTTTTTGAACACTGGCAGTGGCAGCTCTGCCATGCTGATCACAGCATCCTCAGCCCCATACCTCGCTCTCCCCATACCTGTGCTGCCAGGCTCCACGCAGCCCTCTGGGCTGGGGTCCAGCTCAGCTGTGCTGTCCTGGCTGGGGGTCCCTGCCGCAGCCCCCACCACCTTCTGCTTGTTCTTCATGGCCTCAATGGCCTTCAGCCTCCGTGCATGCTTGTGGCCCTTGTAGTGGGCTTCTGCCTGGTTCTGGGGGGAGAGACCAGGATGACCACGTCAGTGCTGCGGCCAGACAGACAGATGGACACAGGGAGAGCAGGTGACAGGGTCAGCCCTGGGATGTGGTCACGCAGGCACATTTCCAGTACAGCCACCTCTCCTGGTGATATCCACTCCGTGGCCTGGGACCACCACAGAGAGGGTGGTTGGGGCAGGGTGTAGCACAGAGAGGGTGATTGGGGCAGGGTGTAGCACAGAGAGGGTAGTTGGCACAGGATGTAGCACAGGGGTTGGTTGGGGCAGGGTGTAGCAGAGGGGGTGGTTGGAGTGGGATGTAGCAGAGGGGGTGGTTGGCGTGGGGTGTAGCACAGAGGGGGTGGTTGGAGCAGGGTGTAGCACAGAGCAGGTGGTTGGCACGGGGTGTAGCACAGGGCGTGGTTGGCACGGGGTGTAGCACAGGGCGTGGTTGGCACGGGGTGTAGCACAGGGCGTGGTTGGCACGGGGTGTAGCACAGGGCGTGGTTGGCACGGGGTGTAGCACAGGGCGTGTGGGGGCGGGGTGTGGCAGAGAGGGGGTGGCTGGAGTGGGGTGTAGCACAGAGGGTGGTTGGAGCAGGGTGTAGCACAGAGGGGGTGGTTAGAGTGGCATGTAGCAGAGGGAGTGGTTGGCATGGGGTGTAGCACAGAGGGGGT